TTTTTTTTTTTTTTTTTTTTTTTTTTTTTTTTTGGAAGCACGGAGCAGCTAGGCAACATTGAACGAAACTATTTTAGCAGTAAAACTCTTCTTTTTTTCATATGCATGCGTAAGGTTGAATTAGTTGAACTACAATAAAACCTTAAAGTTTTTCATTTATTGCTGACTGAGAAAAGGAACCGTTAGCTCTACAGGTACTTGAACATAAGAATTAAATAAAGAGACGCAAAAACAAGGAGATTATCACTGATGCTAATAGTGAAGTAGTAATTGCTCCTCGTGCCGCTCCGTCAGAAATTGCACTGAAAAGAAGTGTTTTCTAACTCTTGATTACATCAATAATGTTTGCAGGTTTTTTTTTTAAAAAACTGCCTAGCACAATTTGTGGAACTTAGTTTGGTGGTTTCATTCACGCAAGGATACACAGTGCCTGCTATTTGTACAGCCAACAAGGCCATTAGAAGTGCTGAAGTCGCTAGAGTATTTCTTGTTCTAGTTAGCCTTGACGGCAAATAAAGCTTCGCCAAAAAAAGTTGATTAAACCACGATAAAAGAATGACTTCCTTTCTCACTTTTTTGTATCCGCTGTCATGCCTCTGTTTTCTTCGAGTGCTTTTAGCCTTGAAGTGTCAATTTTTAACGGAGAATTGTTAGTCACATTCCAACAGGTAGTCAGTTCAACCTCACGTCGGAAGTTTTGACCGTGATCGTCAACGCCGTTAACCATAAGCAAGAAATTTTTATCTGGACAAATGAATGGATCCGAATAGAATTCATACGAGCAGTTGTATCTGCAATTAGTTAACGTAATTGGTCATTACAAAGAGGACGAATAGGAATGCTAGTTTCGTTGATGACTGTGGAGAATTCCTTCAACAGTCGACTGAGAGGTCTTCTTGAGGTTACTCTGTGTTATAAGAAGGTTTGGGTTTTATCAGTCTGTATCAGGCAAAAGTAGTAGGATGGATGTTTCATTAAAAGTTTAAATCATAGGGTCATTATGGTTTATTGAGGAAGTGGGAGTTGAGCTTTGATAGGCAAAGACGTTCATAAGAATCTTGGGATTGCTATTTTATTGAATTTTACTTTTACCTTCTGTAAAGTGATAGTACAAGAACACTGCCGTCGTACTGATTTATCAGCTCCGTGTAAGTTAAGAAGCCATTTTCACCAAGTTCACCACTCATGTGAAGAATAAGAGTATTTTCCACTGAAACAATATTGTAAATTGATTTTGCAGTTTTGAGGCAATCTTTCGTCAGTATTTTTTGGTTACATTTCTTACCTCCCGCAGCTGGTATAGATGGTTGGTCAGAATGTGCAGTGTTAGACTGCCCCACGGAGGACACATAACCGGCCCATACTGTTAATGGGCTATCGCCTCTGACTTGAACGTAGCACATTGATGGAGCGTTCATTTTAATTGTGTAAATTCCTGGTTTGCCAGAAGTGTCGACTTTCACTAATCGTGTCTTTTTATATTGATATATCGTCTCCATTGGAGCAACGTCATCTGGAGAAGAAAAAGTATTGTCACTTTTTGTTTAGTGTTAACCACTTTTGTTCGAAATGTTATGATTATTTTTTAAGTATGTTGGTTGACAGTGATAAGCAAAAAATTTTTAATAATTCACTTTCTGGATCTAAAATGGCAAGAGCGCCGTGTGTGGTGAACGACGTTAGGTAAATGGAGTCCATATAGTAGTCCACCTGAGCGTACCATACAGCTTCCTTGCATGTCTTATCCAAAATTGTAGGTGTTGTTACTAATGTAGATGTGTAAAGTGTTGGTAGGTATGCCAGGAGAAACTAAACTGCAGAAGACATTACAATGATGTTTTAGATGCGTTTTTTGCTGAATCAGTGACGTTGAAATGATAACTCAATTTGTGTTTTTCTTTGGATAATCTGAAGTGAAATAAAAGTTGGAAATGAAACCTCAATATACTTGTCTGTAGGGATAATGAAGAAATTGCCATTTGTTCCAAGAGCTAGGCTGGAGAGTAATTGTACTTTATTGTTATCTGGATTAGAGCCGCAAACTTTTTCATTGTCGTCAATTACGAGGTAGTAAAACTAGAAAAATAATTTAAGGTTTCAGTAGTTAGAAAAAAAAATACTCTCAAACATTTACAGATACTACTATTTTAATTCAAATGTTTACAAAAAAGGGTTTTTCGTTTCAGTTGGCCACCGTTAGCATGATTATTAGTTAAATTATTTTGTGCTCAGTATCACTAATACCTTCTGTGTTTTCGATGCTTGATTAAGTTTTCAAAAATCAACTGTTAGAGTTTATTATCTTAACTGGCTCCGCTTAGTGTTGTTTCAGTGCGCCCTACTACACAGGTCAGTGCAGTGTACTATGATGATACCAGGGGGAGGGGGAGGGCAGATTAATTTGGTAGGCTCAAAAAATTAGGAGCAGACAGGCGCTCATTTTTCTTTTGTTCTACATCTGTCCCGTGATATGTGAAAAAAGAGGAAACACAAACCTGAGGTTTGATTTGGCCAAACAATGCAGCAACAAAGTCAATGGAAATATCCTTGTCATTCTCAAAACTGCGAGTTATTGTCATTATAACAGAGTTAGAAACAGTAACAGCAGCCGATCTTGTTGCTTCTAGAAGGGCTTGATATAATGGTGCACCGCAGACTGTACCTGGATCAGCTATAAGCGATGGGAGCGACTTCACCGCTTTGGTAAACTCCGATAACTTTTCATACAAATCAGAACTAATTATTTTTGAACCTAAAACCGACGGTACTAAATTATCCATATGACTTCACTTATAGTTTACTTTGTGATTAACCTGCAATAATTAGTCGGAAATAAGTTCTTAATTTCTAACATGTGCAGAAAAATTGTTGAAAAATATGTGAGGACTAAATGAAATTATTTGTCAAAGATTAAACCATTCATCAGAATCAATAGTTCATTGCGGAACCATTTCGAATTTTTAGAAAGTACATCGTTTTCCAAGGTTTCAATATTTTGCGACAGCAGCTCTACTGCACGTCTATTTGGTTCTGTTAGTTCAACGATTAGAATAAATGTTTTGCCGTCATTCGAGAACGTTTTTGGAACTTGCGGTAGGCAGTCCACTGAAAATTTATTAAATATCGAGTACAGATAACATTACTTAGGCCTTGGGTTGTACGCATTATTAATATCAAAGAACTTGAAAATGATTTAGGTAGATTGACAGGTGACTAATATCGTTTCAGTTATTTACCACATGATTATAATTTTCTTGATAACTAATAGATAGACAACTCCTCCATAACTGTACACGAAGTTTACCTTTTCTTCAAGTTGTAAATTACAAAAAAATAGAAATGTAAAACCTATAATCATGCTACTTTGCTAGCCAAGGATTTTGATAAAATTCTATTTACAGCGCTGCTTAAATACTGTAGCTGTTTAGGAAGAAAAGTGTACTACAGTTTGTAGTCATGGGTAAGCAATAAGGATTTAAAAAAAAATTTCCTGGACTCTGATTATTATCCAGGAACTTCTGGAAAAATGGCTACTCACCGTACTGGCAAGCTTTACCGTCGTAGCCTTCCGGACAACGACAGACTTTACTTGACTTGTCCAAAGTTCCGTTATTAACACAATTTGGAACATTACACTGCGTACCAGTCCAGTAATCCATACAAACACATATGCCTTCCATCACTATTCCACCGTTTTCGCATTCCGTTCCTAATTATGAACTTAGGAAGTTGAAAGCAAAAAATCACCTAATATTCGTCTATAAAAGCAGTTCCGTTGACATTCAAATTAGCCTATGGATAACTTTTTGTACACAGAACTATACAAAAAAATTAATTTTAATTAAAATGTAAATGAGCCAGTGAGATAGTTTTAGTAGTGGTTTACTTGGTGTTCCACAGTGCCCTGTTGTCATTCGTTGGAATGTTTGACCATTACTGTCTCTTCCGCTATGCTAAACAACCGAAGAAGTCTTTCGCTATGTAAAATAAAGTCTTTGTGACATTACAACAAATAATAAAGGTGGTACTTCAACTGAAAAATGTCAGTTATCATTATTGCTGCTGCTACTTACCAGTGCCGCAAACCTGTTAAACGTAATATTGTAATTTGGACAGCTCCAGTTTTGTGATAACCACGGATAGACACAGAGCTCTCGCTTTTGATATGTTGATGCTACTTCCATCATCATGTCGTCGTAGTTGTAAAGATTTGCATATTTTAGCAATGCGTTCTCATCACCGTAGATGTGGGATATAAAACGATTTTGATCTAAAGACGTTTCAGGTAAAACTACATGCGGATATTGTTTTCACACAGAGCCCTACACGCAGCAGCTGCAAAAAGAGTAGTATAGATAAAATTTTATATGGTTTTACTACAATAAAAGTCACGTCTTGAAATGTATTAAAAATAATAGATTATTTACTGGAAGCTGAAGTTGGTTCCGGATTGGCAAAATCGCTATGTTCATCAAGGACAAATTTAGGGAACACTTGAATGGCACTTTGAACTCGAATTTCCACTTCACATCCTTTTATTGGCCAAGTGCTAGATAAGGGTGGGGCACTGGCCGTGACTTCAATATGCCACTTTCCAGGAGGTACATGATCTGAAGCCAAAAAACAGTTTAAGATACAAGGCAGGAAAGTAAGAATCAACTGTTACAATGTAGATTTGGTTACCATACCATCTGCAATATCGCCTGTTTGCAAATTTTGATTGTATTTATGCTTCTCGCAAATGTAATAATGTATTGCCGTTTCGCAGTTATCCATCTTCCACTTCCCTTTGAGATTTCTGTATACGCATTGCAGGCGAGTATCCGTAGAAGGTTCTTTATCATCCCAGTTCTTATACAAACTTTCGTTGAACTTAAATTTATTTTAGCGTAGTAAGAGTTACAGAGGAAAATGCAACGCAGTTAAGTCAAGAAAAACAATTATTTGATCAAATTGTTACAAACCAACTGCGGTTCTTGATCAGTCATTCTATCCCAGTAAAACTTTCCGTCATCTTGACGACGAAGGCCGATCCAGAATTCCGTATTATGACTATACTCTTAAATGAAAGTTGCGATCATAAATCGATTATTGATAATACAAAGCATAAAAATTAAAAAGATAAAGAATTTGCCAAAGCAATTTTCTAGACCTGTAATCCAATCATCTTTAGCTTTAGAGAGTTCATCAATCAAAAACCCGTCATTATTATGGCAGTCAGACGAAGCGTTCTGCCATGAAGCTAATCTTAGTCTGAAAAGAGCGCAGTAGGGGGTGCCGATTGGTTCCCAACCTTCGTCACAAGCTAAAAAAGGGTTCAAATATGTGGATGCTAAACAGTGCTAAAAAGCTATACCGTTGGAAAGTTGTCGCATTACCGACTGTGCTGAAAAAAAGCGAAATCTTACGTCGTCTGACTTCTGAGACGTACCACCCAGTGTTTTCTGTGTCGTTGATATATTCGTGTCTGTCTTTAAACTCGCTACCTAAACAAATCAAATGCTTTTGCTGTTAACAAATAAGCATTAAGGAGTTGTCTCTACCACAATTCTTACAACAGTTTGATGCATACCATCAGGACGATATATTTTTACATTGTTCTTGTAGCCGATAACAACTAGTTGAATCGTCTGAGTAAACGAATCAATTGGGAAGAAGACGCTGACTGCTCTGTTTGTACAACTTGAATCAACTTTTCTGTAGACAACTCCAGATTCGTATAGTGTTGGTATGATTTGAAGTACCTTAATTATTACTACGTAGTTTATAAGTAAAATTTCTTTGTAAAGTGAAATAAAGCTGTCGTAAGTGCCAAGTCAGAGGAACTGAAGGAGGCGACTGGACACTTTGATTAGAATAATATTGAATTCTGACAACGGCATTATTCATCGGCAATATTTTTTGTGAAAATAGGCACTTTCTATAACCAAGTTCTTTAATTAATTTATTTTTTCATACTTTTTTAATTCATTACTTAAAAGCAGTACCTGTTCAAAATTTGAGTTACTGACAGGGTATGCTCTTCCTTGGTTAATTTCAGCTAATCCATTCAAGAAGTCATATTCCGTGGCATTCACGTCACAAATTACCGAAGCAGTAGCTGAAGTGCCACTGTAAACGTAGAATGCCATTACCAGTACACGTTTAGATTCTATCAAATTGTAAGCTCGATAAGCTTCAGTATCCAGTACATTAGGTGCAGAAGCCTTAATTCACAGACGTCACTCGTAATTTTTTTCATCTTGAAATGAAATGAATAGAGGATTTCAGGTTACAAACTTCGTAAAGACCTACAGAATTACTTTTATGTTTTTTCGCGTTGGTACTCAACCCAAAAAGTGTTGATAAAAGACGGAGACTGTTTTTTCAAAACATCATTGAAGAAATTGAAAGAGGAAAAAATACGAAGGTCCAAGGGCGAGGTGAAAGAGAAATGTTTTTTTCAGCAGTAAAATTTCGCTCCATTATTTAGCAACAGCATTTCCAAGTCTATCATTGAAAAACTAAGAGTAGAAAAAGCAGAAAAAATTTGAGTATTTGCGCACTCTTTACTTCTTCTGTTGTCACCCTTTGAGTTTTGAAAAAAGTAGCTTTTGTGTCATAAATTTATTAACTGAACTTTTTATAGGAAACCAATAAGTCTTCATTTTTTCTTTTGGAGGTCCATTTTGTTTGTTCTGTGAGCGCAGAAGGACAACTTTTTTACTTTCCCTAAATTAGTTAACATTCTCAAAAGATCTTCCAGAAGAGCCATTTCGCTCACTTCTAAACTTAACAATATACGAGGTTATTATTTGTGGTGTTTCTAAAGTGGTTGACTTGAATGACCCGTGAAAAGCTGAATAAAAAAACTTTAATTAGACATTAGCCCCTTGGTGACAACCGAGGACAGCTACAACAACGTTCGTCTAAGCCGGAATTTTCTCAGAGTCTGCAGTTAATTTACAAATTGTCGAACAGATAACGTTGTTCAACTGACTATTTATGTTAAAGTGGCAAGTTGTTCTAGCGAAAACGTGGCGTAGACTTATCTTCAAGCATCGTAAAAAATTAGTTTCTACTTGAAAAATGCAAAAAAAGTCTGCGCCAGATAGGTTAGAAGAAAACAGTGTCGTACATTATCAAGCAGTTTTGATTTTACTTAAAACTTTTTTTGCAGGTCATTTTCAGGATGGCTTCGTATGTTGCCGAAAGTCGAAAACTTTAAGTGCATAGAAATAGCGAGTAAGCTTGTCGCTAGGGGTAACAAAAGAGTAGGGTAACAGAATTAAAGTTATTTTGTCTCAAATCTCTTCTTAAAAAAGAAAGATAGGACTTATTTTTTGATAAAGATCGATCTTTTGCATTACTGCCTTACCTCATATTCTGATGACTAATTTAGTTAGAGACTTTTTTTGAGCAATGTTATAATTAAAAAAACGCCAATTTATAAAAAAACTGTATGCATAATATACAGTGGGCTAGAAACAATTTTTGCTCTACTATTTCAATGCTATAAGCGAAAAAAGTTACGTGCAAAATGACGACATAGCTATCTTCACGAACGAAATCCAACGCTTCAGCAAGGGCATAATATAGTTTTGATCGACATTCCCGATCTTTATTAATAGTCAAAGTATTATATGCATCATTTACGGCCTGAATAAATGACGTATAGTCGTTTCTTCTAGCAGCATATAGAATACCAAACCCTAAAAGAATGCATTTCACAACCTTTTTAAGCTGCCTCCGCAGAGGCTTAAAAAATAGATAATTAGGACTGGTTCTTTGAGGAAACCGTACAGGTTGAGTTGTATCCGGCGAGAACATAGTTTGCAATCCATTCTTGGTGATGAAGTCTAATATCCCTGATAAGGGTATTCATGTAATTGTTCAGTGCATCCAGTAATCCTGCTCCATAGAGAGTCATATCAACAACAAAAACTATATCACGATTTATCGGTGAAAAAGGTTCTTCTGGTCCTTCCACCAAGCACAACACTGAAAGTAATTTCTTCCTTTTAATAAAAAACTACAAAGTCATATAGAAAAAGTGTGTTTGAAGATGCCATGCAGAACCTGTCTCGCAGTGGCTTCCGGTAAAACCAGAGGGGCAACTGCACCAGTAGCCGCCACCAGTGTTTCTTGGTGTACCGCCATTGTAACAGACTGCGATCTCACACTTATCCCCGCTCCAGTCTGGGGGGCAAAGACAGGTGGTAGCATTGTTATCCTGCAGCTCTACACCTCCATTTTGACAATTTGTTGGAGGCTCCAATGTTGGATGAGCTTAAAAAAATTGTATGGAACAAGTTTGAAAATTACATTATTTTGAGTACAGTTTTTTAACAAAAATTATC